TTCCTCCCTTAATAATACCCTTCTCTTATGGTTCCACCTTTCTTGAGCTCCTTCTTTCCCTTTTTCCCCTAGGTTCCTTGTATACCCTTCCCTCCCCACTCCCCTTAAAATAACTCCATTTTTATCCATATCTCCCTTATCACCTGTTTTCTACTGCTCTTCTATTTCAGATTCTTTCTTTTCCTTTAACTCCCTGGTTCCTTTTCATTATCCTGATTCCTGTAGTTATGTCTGGATACACACCCACTTACAAGGATTTAGTGCTAAGATCCACATATGAGGGAGAACTTGTGTATTCTGTTTTTCTCAGTCTGTGTTACTTCACTTAGTATAACAGTTTCTAGTTCCCTAGCCCCAGCTATGGAACTCACTATGTAGTAGACCACGCTGGCCTCGAACTCACAAAGATCCGCCTGTCTCTGCCTCCCAAGTGCTGGGTCATTTTCATTATCCACTCATCATTTGAGGGATACTTAGGCTGCTTCCATCTCTTAGCTGTTGTGAAAAGAGCAGCAATAAATATGGAATTACAAGTGTCTCTTCAATAGGATGAGTTCTTTGGGCATATGCCAAGGAGCAGTATAACTGAGTCAAATGATAGATTCATTTGTAGCTTTTTAAGAGTTCTCCACACTACTTTCCATAGGGGTTGAACAAGTTTTCAGTCCCACCAGCAGTGGATGAGCATTCCTCTTTCCCCACTCCAACATTTGGTATCATTTGTTCTCTTGATCTTAGCCAGTCTGACTGGGGTAAGATGAAATCTTAAAGTGGTTTTAATTTGCATTTCCCTAATTACTGATGATGTTGAACACTTTTTAAGATGCTTCTTAGCCATCTTTATTTCTTCTTTTGAGAACTCTCTGTTCAGCTCCTTAGTCCATCTTTTACTAGGGTTACTTCCTTTTTTGATTCTTTGTTGAGTTCGTTATATATTCTGGATGATAAACCTCTGTCAGATGTGTCACTGGTGAAGATTTTCTCCCATTCTGTGGGTTTTCTCTTCACTTCCCTGGTTGCTTCTTTTGATGTAGAGAAGCTTTTTAGTTTAATAAGGTCCCATTTGTTGATTCTTGACGTTGTTTCCTGAGCAATTGCTATCCAGTTTAGAAAATCCTTTCCTACACCTATGTCTTGTAGGTTATTGCCAATGTTTTCTTCTAACAGTTTCAGAGTTTCAGGCTTGAGGCCTTTGATCCATTTGGAGTTGACTTTTGTGCAAGGTGAAAGATAGGGGTTTAGTTTCATTCTTCTACAGGTAGGAGATCCAGTTTTACCAGCACCATTTACTGAACATGCTGTCTTTCCTCCACTAAGTGTTCTTTGCCCCTTTGTCAAATAGCAGGTGGCAGAAATTTCATGTACTCATATTTGGGTCTTCAGTTTTGTTCCGTTGATCTATGGGTCTATTTTTGTGCCAGTACCATGTTGTTTTTATGACTATAGCTCTGTAATACAGTTTAAAATCTGGTATGGTAATCTTCCCAGCATTGCTCTTAGCACTCAGGATTGCTTTAGTTAGCCGAGGTCTTTTGTTCTTCCATATGACTCTTAGAATGGTTTTTTCCAATTCTGTGAAGTATGTCATAGGGATTTTGATTGGCATTGCATTGAATCTATAAATGGCTTTTGGTAGGATGGTCATTTTCACAATATTAATTCTTCCAATCCATGTTTCAATTTTTTATCACTTCTTGGTTTAACTTTGGCAGGTCATATGCATTTAGAAATTCATCTATTTCTTTTAGGTTTTCTAATTTGGTAGAATGTAGGTTTTTGGAATACATCCTTATGATCTTCTGGATTTCATTAGTATCTGTTGTAATGCCTTTTCATCTTCAATCTTAGGAATCTTTGTCTTTTCTACTCTTGCTTTTGGTTAATTTGGCTAAGGGTTAGTCCATCTTGTTAGCCAATCTCTTGGAACTAGAGTTAGGGGTGGTTGTTAGCTACCATCTGGGTGCTGAGAACCAAAGCTGGGTCCTCTGCAAGAGCAGCAGTGCTCTTAACCACTGAACCACCTCTCCAGCCCCTCTTCCCTGATCTTAATTATTTCCTTCTTTCAACTAGTTTTGGGTTTGGTTTGTTTTTATATTTCTAAGGCCTTGCAATGCATCATTAAATTATTTACTTGAGATCATTTTGATTCTGTAATATGGGCACATACAGCTATAATCTTCTATTCTAGGACTGCCTCCACTGTATTCCATTGGTTTGGGTAATCCTGTTTTCATTCAGTTCTAGAAGTTTTCTAATTTCTTTCTTGATTTCTTCATTGATTTGGTCATTGTTCAATAGTGTGCTTTTTAGGCCCTGTGAGTATGTGTGTATATTTTGTCTGATTTCTCCCACTGCTTATTTCTATCTTTATGCCATTATTGTTAGAATATAGAGAGTTATTTTCCCTGTATTTGTCAAGTTTAGCTTTTTGTCCTTGCATGTGATCAACTTTAGAGTATATCCCACGGGCTGCTGAGAAGAATGTGTATTCTGTAGTACTTGACTTGAATGTTCTATATATTTCTGTTAGGTCATTTGATCCATGGTGTCATTTAGCTCCTCTGTTGCTGTCCATTTTGTACCTGAATGGACTGTCCGTTGGACATTCAAGTCATGTACTATTACTGTGTTGTTAATCTTTGACTTTAAATTTAGTAGTACTTACTTGTTTTATGAAATAGAGTACACCTGTGTTCAGTGTGCATACACTAAGGGCTGTAATGTCCTCTTGCTGGGTTATTCTCAGTGTAACGTGACCATTTCATCTCTTCTGATCTGTCAGATATCACAGTAGCAACTCATGCCTGTTTCCTGGTTCCATGTGGTTTGGAATACTTTTGTCTATCCTGTGGTGTCTGTCTTTGGCCATTGCTATAGAATTCTTCATTTTTGAAAGAGACATTGTCTTGGCTTTTCCTGTTCCTAGTTTTTACAGTGGTATTGTCCCATCTGGAGTTAAGATTTTCTGGCACACCTGAATTGAGTGAGCTCTTGTTTCAGTGCTTGGTGTCTTTCTACTTTTGAGTCTTACCTAAACTCGGTGTTGGTTTAAAGTTCAGTTGTGGAGAGACTTGGTGTTGATTCATGGATGAACTTGGCTCAGTGGGAGGGGCACAGCCTCTAGCCTCATAAGCTATCAGTGCAGTATGGCAAAGGGTTGCACTGGGGCAGCAGTTTGATGTGTCCTCTGATCTTCAGAGCCAGGTTTTATAAGGTGTTGTGGACGTATGCATTGAAATTGAGGATCCCATGACCTCTAATTTCACAAGCTAGGGAGTGTGTGGAATGTTAATATGTATGCACCAAGTGTGAGTGGATCATGTCCTCTCACTTCCCTGAGCTGAGAGTGCACCCAGGAGCAGAGATTCATAATGAGGGCAGGGGACAAGGTTGGTCAAGCTCTTCTGGCTTCATCAGCTAGGATGCACGTGGGATAAAGGAAGGGAAGTTTCAGCAAGTGGGAAGGTCCAGAGACCTCTAACCCTCCTGACTGGGGTGAATGCCCTGAGTGGCAAAAGTATGCCTTGGAGACAGGAGGCCAATGCTTTTTTACCTGTCTGGGCTTGGTGCTCACAGGATAAGGGATATGTGCATGGGGTAGAAGATCCAGGAACTTCTTACCTTCCCAGGTCAGATGCTGGAGGAGCTGTGGAAATGTGCATTGCAGGCAGGGGTGGGAGGGACTTAATTGTCCAGGAAGGTGGAATTGTGCAGCAGAAGCAATGGGTCCTGGAACCCTCTACCTGTCTCTGATGGGTACTGGTGGGGATGGAGAAGGAGAAAGTGTGCCCTGGAGGTAGAGGGTCTGGGGACCCCTTACCTGTCTGATGGGTGCTGGCTGGGCAGCAGAAGTAGCATGGGAGCAGCATGAATTGTTAGGTAGAGATTTTTTGTAAAAGTTTGAATCTTTCAGCTACTACACCCTTTCCTACACTGAGGAAAGTGTTTTATGATAATTGGTTCTTGTAGAATTTTAAATTTTTTTAAAAATGACTTTAGTAAATTATGTGTTCATGAGGCTTTTTTTTTCAACAAAAATTACCTAATATTTAGCTTGATTATCATGAATACATGATCAATTTTTTTATGTCCTAAAACAGTGACTTTTTGACATGTGTAGTTTTGGAGAAGCAGGGAAAAAACATACATAAAACTAAAATAATTTTAGTAGGCTATATGTGATATGTTCAGAATTGAGACTCAGTAATCACTAAGCACCCAACTGTAACTTTCTAAGAACAGAAATCAGGTGTGTTAGTCAACTTTCTGCATCAGTGAGTGTGACAGAATACTTGAGGCAGATAACATATATGGAAGAAAGGGTTTTTTTGTTTTTTTTTTTTTTTTTTTTTTTTTTTTTTTTTTTTTTAATTTTGAAGCAGGGTCTCCCTGTAGCTCCAGCTATGCTGGAACTCAACTATGTAGACCAGGCTGACCTTGAACTCACAGAGATCCATGTGCCTCTGCCTCCCAAGTGCTGGGATTAAAGGCGTGCGCCACCACGCCCAGCTTATATATTTGACCCCATGATTTTTGAAGTTTCTGTCCATTGTAGTGTAGCCCTATTGCCCTTGAGATTATGGGGAGCCAATACATCAGGGGTGAGGGAATGGTGACAGAAGAAATGTGTTCACTTCATGGGAGCCAGGAACCAGAAGGGGAGAGAGAGAGAGAGAGAGAGAGAGAGAGAGAGAGAGAGAGAGACAGAGACAGGGGTGCAGGGGTGGGGAAGTCAAGGTCAAGATCCAAATATCCTTTTCAGGAGCATGCCCTGGTGACTTAACACCCTTCTGCTTCAGCCTACCTCCTAAAGTTTCTGCCATCTCTCAGCATCACCACTGCTGAGAACCAAGCCTTCAGAGTGTGGCCCTTCGGAGAGATCATTTGCGATCCAGATTATAACATCAGGGTTTTCTGTTTCAAAAAAAAAATCCTACAACTTGCTACATGTGTATCTTTGAGTAGTTATGTATGCATTTGTACTTAAATACCTTTTACAGTTGGCAGGGCGAGGACTGATTAAAGGCAGAGACCACCTCATGTGGGTTCTGCTCCAGTTCATTTCTGGAAGTATTCAGAAGAATGCACTAGCTGATTTTCTCCCTGTCATGAAGCTCTTTGATCTTCTGTACCCAGAAAAAGAAGTAAGTTTTACTGACTAGTTAATGATGTGCTTAAATTATATCTACTTTATGTGAGATCTGTAGAAAGAATACTGGATTGGGTGAGTTTGTTTCCCTAGTTCTGTGTGTGGCTCGCTCTGATGAGAAGTCTGGGCATTCAGTCTTTTCTAACATTAGTTTACTTATATGGTAAATAAAGAAATAGAAGAAGATCATTTCTAAAGCTTGTCCTAAATCACAATTGAGTATCTTGCGTAGCAAGCTCTTCCTTTCCATTCTAAGTTAGACCTACAGTTCTAAAATGCAGTAATGCTATTTTCATCTACACACATCACTGAATGACCAAATAACAATGTGCCTTTGTATCTAGTTTTTGTTTGTCAGTAGATCTCAGTAAGCCCTAACCCAGTTTTCTGTTTGAGCAAAATATCATTTATTTCGATGGTTGCCATTTTGTAGACACATTTTATGGAAAATTTTAAACACAAAAGAAAAGTAGAGTGAACAGAACAATAAAGGCCTGTGCACTATTGTTTAGTGGTACCCCTGCAATAGAGGCCCATTACCTGTCACTTAGTGATGCGCCTGTTTCATCTTTCTTTCTTTTATTTTTTGTTAATGCTAGATAATTTAAAGTGAATTCCAGCCTTCTATATTGTTAATATTTAGTCTGTTTTGTTTTGCTTAGATTTGTTTTTGAGACAGTCTCACTATGTAGCTCAAGTTGGCCTGGAACTTGCTGTGTGTACTTTTGGTAGTCCTTGAGTTCATGGTCCTCATACTTTCCTTAGTGTTTCCCTATAAGTTTTAAGTTTTTACTTTATTTAGAGGTATGTATCTGTATGTGGGAATGTGCACCTAAATGGAGTACCCAGAGAAGCCAGAAGAGGGCATCAGATCCCCTGGAGCTGGAGTTATAGGGGGATGTGAGTCACTGAGGTGAATGCTAGGACCCAAACTTAGGTCCTCCACAAGATCAATAAGCCCTCTTAACCTCTGAGTCATCTCTCAAACCCTGCACCCGCTTTTTTCTTTTTTTTCTTTTATTACATTCATTTACTTGGGGAGAGGGGCACACATGTACCACTGTACGTGTGGAGGTCAGAGGACAATGGAGGTTGGAGGACAACACGCAGGAGTTGTTTCTCTCTTTCCCTCCTGTGGGTCCCAGGGGTCGAACTCATGTCATCAGGCTTGGTGGCAGGTGCCCTTTACCCACCTAGCCATCTCACCAGCTCTCAGTATGTTTAATGATAGACATTTACTTTGCGTATTTCAAGGCCTCCCTATGAAGCCCAAACTACAGGCATACTTTTGCTCCTCAAGTTACCTGAGTGCTTGGATTATAGGTGTGTATATGACTGTGCTTGCCTTTTTTTTTTTTTTTTTTAATCTTTTGGGGCAGAATCTCTTGTAGCCCGGGACCGAGGCTGGCCATTGATCCTGGGTTTCATGAATGTTAGGTAAACACTCTACCAACTGAGTCATATCCCCAGTTCCTGCCTCATATGTGTTTTTATGTTTTTTCTTTCCTTTTTTTTTTTTTTTTTTTTAATATCTTCTTGAAAGGTAGATATTCTTTGAAGAGGCACTGGGAAAGATTGCTCAATTGTACCAAATTTCAGTTAGATAGGAAAAAGAAGTCTGTGTGCTATTGCACAGTAGGGTGTCTACACATAGCTGTTGTGTACTATACATTAAAAAGCTACATGGACGGTTTTTCAGAATTTTTTTTTCCATGAAGAAATGGTAAATATTGAAGAAGATGAGTATGTTTAACCTGATTACACAATGTGTACATTACATGGTACACCATTAATATATATATAGTTTTTGTGTTTTTTATATCAGCTAAAAATGTAAAACCATGTATGAGATTATAGAGCTTATGTTTTTAGTATATTTATCACAGTTTGTTATGATTTTGTGATGTGCTTAATTTTGAAAGAGAAAAAATTTTGTGATTGTTGTTTGAGAAAGCTCTATGATAAAAGCTTGGCTGAGCACCTTTGATTTTTTAACAAGTAGAAACATGCCAAATAAAACACCTTGTTTTAAAATCTTATCGCTGTAGGCCTTCTGATTTGTATTGAATCGTCAAAGAACTATTGGCACTAAACTAAGATAGAATTTTTGTAAGAGTTAATAAGATACATGTGACTATTTAATTCTCTTTCATATAATATGCTAATTGTTACTTTTCAGTGTATCCCAGTTCCAGATATTAACAAGCCCCAGTCAACTCATGCCTTTGCAATGACTTGTATTTGGATCCATCTTAATAGAAAAGCCCAAAATGGCAACTCCACGCTACAGATTCCAATACCTCATTCCCTGAAGCTTCACCATGAGTAAGTTATTTGTTGCTTGGCAGTTAATTTCTTGGTTAAGAAGTAATGTATTGCAGACTAATATTGACTTCAGTGTTTGTGCAGTTTAGAAATCTCCCCACACCTATTGAAGGTATGACGGTGAATATCTAATACATATGTTGTAGCAAGAGAAATTGCTAGTAGCAGCATCCAAAGCAACTTGATTGACTCTCCTTACATGGATAGGTGTTTTTCTATTCATTTGCAAGATTGATTTTGTCTTTACATCTTGTACTTAAAATTGTTAACTTAGTTAGGGTATCATCTCTTATCAACATGAAATACTTGATTTGCTTATGATTTGAACATAAGCAAATGACTGACTAAAGCATCTTTTATTCCCTGGGCTGCCCAAAATGACTGAGCTGACGTGGCTGGCATGCTCCCTCCTGTGTTTTCGAAAGCTGTGCTGACTCAAAGGAGATGGCCTTCTTAGATAACTGTGCTTCAGTCAGAGGCCTTAGGAGTAGCTGAACTTCCTTTCCAGGACCTCTGAGAACTGCCTTAATAGGAGCCTGCAGGGTACTCAAACTCAAGGTTTCATCTGGCTTTTACTTTATGATACCCACTGTAGTCTTTTCATAGTGAAACCAATAATGAAGGCTTAAATTAAAGAAGATAATAGAAGCCTTTTTCATTAATTTGTGAGTTTATTGTTCTCTGAAACTTAGCTTATATGTAATATGTATTTAACAAATAACCTTTTTAACTTGTAATGAAGTTTCTTCTACAACATTACCCAAACTTTAATATGTGTATTCACTCTATTTCACTAGGAACTGTATTCTGTAAGACTAAAGAATATTAATGACTGCATACGATTGAACTTTGTAAAAATGCAACTTAACTTCATGGGTGTTATTTCTGTGTAATGAATGTGAATTTTTAGGTTCCTACAACAGAGTCTAAGAAATAAAAGTTTACAGATGAATGACTATAAGATTGCCTTGCTGTGTAATGCATATTCCACAAATTCAGAGTGTTTTACGTTACCTATGGGAGCCCTGGTAGAAACTATTTATGGAAATGGAATTATGAGAGTGCCCCTCCCTGGAACAAGCTGTTTGGCTTCAGCATCTATAACGCCCTTACCCATGAACCTCCTGGACTCACTCACAGTTCATGCCAAGATGAGGTATGCTCTTTTTCTTTATTTGGCCCTGTATCTGAGAATTAGTATCAATATTGTATTGACCTTGCTACTGTGATTATATGTATGTATATACATATTCGTGTGTGTATGACCAGGTCCACTTAAGAAATAATTTCTTCACAAAAATGAATATTGTTAACTATAGGAATTCTAGAATGTACAGATGAGCACAAAGCAAATAAGTCCCCTAATCCTTCCCTAAGAGACAAGCCTGGCAAAAGGTTTTGTTGTTGTTAGTCGTTTTTCTGTGAGTAAATTTATAATTTATTTTCTGTGTTGTTGACAAAATGAGCTGTTTTGTAATGCTTTTTCTGTAATAAACAACTTTACAAATCGTTTTTTGACCAAAACATTTTTGAATTGCTACAAGCAAGTTTCTTGTGAAACTGTAAATAATGATTTAGCACCTATATTGTTGGACATTGAAGAATTTTAGAGATGATGATAAAGGTTATCTTTATGGTGATCATTGTACTGTTGTCCCTAGTTACATTTTCTTTGCATTTTCTTGTTTTATATATA